TTCGAGAAGGCGTACATCAAGAGGATTCTTCAGTGGAAGACACTGCCACTGAAGATGACACTTACGACACTCCTGAGCTGAACGACTTGGGTACGTAGTTAACTTTTGTGCCAGAGTTAATGTGATCATTAGAAGAGTACTGACGAAAGCTGTTAGCAGTGAATCAATTTATTAATCAGTTGTAATACGATGGTTTCAAACTTTAACATTTGCAGAACAAATCAATCAAGAAGTAGCAAGAGAAGATCCAAAAGTCGATTCTCTGTTAGATGACGGTTATTCCGTAGAGAAGACTTCCGACACAACTGAAGGGAATGGCTCAGGTATGTAATTTTGATTTCATGGTTCGCTTTTAGGAATTTGGGCTGTTTCTTATCGTAAAATCTTATTTGAAAACATCTAAATGAGTTCAAATTTATCAGGATAGGACTGTCTTTGGTGGTCACTGGTTTTCCTCTTTGTGTAAGTTATCAGTCATTCAAAACATAACATTCATGCCTAAATTGCCAAAGTAAAACCCATTCCATTGAAAGACAATTGCAAAAGTATTAGTGTTTTAAGCTCGAACCAAACCCAACATTAAATAAACATTCCATACTAAATGTGATCCTTTGAAAATAAAAGAGATACTGCTAACATATTGTTGAAAAGGAAGTTTACATTTCTTCTTTAACAATAATCTATTTATACTGTGACATAGTGGGTAGTTCATCAAGTGAGTCAACAGCATTAGACAAAATAAATCTAAAGACAGTTAAAAATTCAGCTTTCAGTCAGACAATAATACTTCCTTTTCTAACATGCGCTGGTGGCTCAATATAAATACACATTTTTTTCTTTCAGTAGAAAATAACCATGAATTGGACGAGGAGCAATCGGACGATTCCCTAGAAGAAAATGATACCTCTGACGATGTAAATTTCGACAGTATGGACGAGAATGACTTTGGTACGCTACTACTTAGACCTCCTTGAAAAAAATCCGTGTCCCCACCTCGATGCACTACCATAACCAGCAAAAGACAAATCCCTTTTTTGAACTCAGTGCATGGAAAAAATTATACAGTTTATATTTTCAATAAAACATAGGTCATGCACGTA